TTGGTACTTAGTAACTATTAAGATGAAGACTACAGATGGTAACTATATCTGATGGAAAGCATCTGCCATGGCAATGTATTCAGTAGGTACCTGAAGTCTTAACACAGACTGTTCATTGCCCATCTTCTGAGAATGCAGCATAATAGTACGGTTTTATGTAAATTTAAGATTCCTATTTGGAGTTATCAAAATGGTGAGTGAAGGTATCTAAGAACATGGAATTAAATTATTGATAGAAGTCAAATAATTTTAAGCTGAGCATTTTAGAGGTTTGCCTAAGAGAAAGGAGAAATAGTCTTATATGCAAAACTATTCTTTTTCACATAGCACCTCTTGGTTACTTTGGGGAAGCTGATGAATGAAAAGGACAGCAACGTAAATGTAGATTCCTAATGTGTGAGAGTGGCCATTATGGAAGTGTTGATCTGATATAAAACCTTTCTTAAAGTTTAGGGTCTAGGGATGCAGTGCGGTTAATTGAAGGGTGGTTAATGGAGATAATGATACCAGCAACTTGAAATTTTATCTAAAGTAGCCCTTTTCTGACTTCTCCAAACTGTATTTTCTTATTGAATTATTACTGAAATATACTTTAAACTAGGTGCAGCTCCTGTTCTTACAGGCCCTTTCTCATCTTATGTTATCTAGGATGAAATTCAAAGCCTGATACTGCACTTGCTACATTGGTATTATTGCTTTTAAACATTTACTGAAATTGAGCATACTGTCTTCTCTTGAAGTGACTGAAGTGACTCTTGATGTGACTGAATACCCTGTATTCTCTTTATGGGTGATATTTTTTTTGTGATATTCAAATAGATAGGGTATAGATAAATGGGAAAATCGAGTTCTTTTCTTTGTTTCCCCAGATTTTAACCTAGTTCTTTTCCCTCACATGACCTACCTCTTTCCTGTTTTCTAACATATTTTAACAAGTGATCAAGTCTTTTCAGTAACATACTTCAGAGTCTTTATGGTGTCCTGTGTTTTTAGGGCTTCTAAAAAGACAAAGAATTTTTAGATGATGTTTTAAGGTTTCATAATAATCTTCTGACTTTATTTCCTGTTGTCCTGGGTTGAATGGAGTGTCTATGCAGTGGTTCTATGTTTGTACAGGTGTTCTAGAGAGGTGAAATGAAGCAGGCAGAACTAAATTTTCCAAACCATTAATTGTTTTTGAGTGTTTTTTCCCTTTTTGAATTCTACTTCTTTAAGGTTAACTTTGTTTAAGCATCCCAGAACTTAGGTAATCTAAATCAATATTTATTGCTGAAAATAGGAGACAAAACATTGAACTTCCTGGTCCAGGTCTTTGTCAAATTGTTGATAGAATAGTGAGGCCTGATTCCTGTACACACCTTCTCATTGTGATGAGAAGTCATTTGTCATTAAGTTCAGGAAATATATATTTCACAAAATACACTGCTTCTCAATCTATCTGAATGTTCCTGTCCTCAAGTAATTAAAATAATGAACAGAGTAAGCAGAGTGGATAAATATACCTTACTTGCAATACTGAACTTGTAAATAATTAAACAATTGTCGTCACTGTCAGGTTATTATTCTAAGTACCTTTTCCGGGTTTTGGTGTTGGTTACTTAATGCTGTGAGGTTAAGAAATAGCAGTGGAACAGGCTATACACTTATTAACAGGACTGATTTGTACTCAGTGTAAGTAAAAGCAGTCTTTAAACTTCCTTTAGTGATTTCTGCACAATTGCATAATGACTTAGGATACGCTTTTCTTAATACTCAGCTGCCAGTTAAGTAAAATAAGAAACTAACCATGTAGATGGAAAAATACAAAATTTCCAAGCTGAACACAAATATTACATAGCAGCAACTAATCTGCATAACAATTATAGCTGCAATAGTGGCAAGAGCTAGGCTGATCATGAGAGTCTGCTCCAAATTATACTTGGCAGGGCATAATTGTTTTACTTACATTCTAATTAAGAAATAATATGGGTGGGAGATTTTAATAGAGGTGGACTAAGTGGTATAAATATAGAAATACAGCCATTCAAATGTGTTACAGACTTTAATATGTTTAGAGAATCAACCAGTGAGTGGGTCTGTCAATGACTTATTGCTTTATTCTATTGGCAACCAGAAGTCAATACAGCAAAAGAACTTAGGCTATGGAATTCTTTTCAAAATGTAAAAACTACCTTTCTCTTTCAATTAACTAAATTACCTACTATTTTATTGAGTGTTAGGAGATTTTTAATTATTTTTATAATTTTATGAGTAAGTTCATCTATTGACAAAAAGGTTGGGGGTAAGGAACAACAACAGAATTTTGCAACCTTAATGTTTCTAAGTTCACTAACATAAAATGTACATTTTAATTCAGCTCTTTTTGTTCTGTGATCTGTATTTCTGTGACTTTTTATGTCATAATCCATAGTTATGAATGTTTTTAGCAAGCTATGTATCCCTGTGATTTTAAACAGATGTTGCTGGGTGGAAAAATCAAGAAAGACTGTGGTTTCATCCTTACTCTGCCAGTAACTTCTCTAGTGACTGAGTTAGGCACTTAATCACCACCTCAGTTTATTATCTGAGAGGAAGAGATAATTACAACTCCTTTACTAGAAAAATCACATTAATTCATTCAGTATAAACTTGTACAGAGTATGAAAGCTTGCTGTTCAATGCAGAGGAGGACCATGCAGCAAAATCTGGTGTGTGAAGTTTACATTCTGAAAGACAAGCTCTAGCAGTTACAAAAGGCAGAGAAACTGGTGGGAAGAGAGAAATAAATAAAATGTGTAGTTTTTTAACCAGTCAGTAGCTGTCACAACACTGGAGGGCTCCCTGTGGGCCAGCTCCCCTGGCTGGGGTGGTGGGACAAGAGCCCTGGCTGCCAATAGCCTTCTGGGTGCCAGCCTGGGATCTTAGCCTGTGGATCAGGCTAGGCAAGGCAGACCAGCTGTGTGTTGGCCAGACTGGTGGGATCTGGCTCGCTAAGGCTGGATAGGACAGGGCTGTGGGAGTGGGTGGCCCTGGACAGGGCTGAAATGGCATCCTGGGCCACAGAGGGATCAGAGGACATTCTAGGGGAGAGTGTCCAGTGAGTGCCCCCAGGACCTTGGAGATGTGTCTAGCTTCAATGTTTTATTTTATTACAATTTCTGCTATATTGAACCTAGTTTTCTCTTTCTTGGATTATAATCGAAACCCTGATGGTGGTCATTTCTTTGGGACTGATCTATATGGCTTAGTGATGTTTTGGGTCACAAATTGTCTCCAGCCAGGTGTTACTCTGCTGGAAATGCCTCATGCCATGCTGTACATCACTGTTCTCTGCAATGAGCTCATTTCTGTTGGTTGTGCTCTGTGCGTGTGCAGTGCAGGATATGTCTTTCAATGCTGAGTGCAAAACATCTGATTCACTGTGTCCAAATTTGTCAGTGAATGAGGTCCAGTTATGCAAATACAAAGTACTTTTTATCTTCTGTCTGGTTATTTGCTTAGGAAGTGTACTGAATTACTGTTGTAACTCTGAATAATGTGTTATTATCAATACAGCCACATCATGCACTGTGCTGTAATTGCTAGTAAGAACACCGAGCCTTCTTTTTGGGAAGGAAACTAGCAGAGAAGAAAGAACCTGATTAGCTAATTAAGTTGTGATGCTGAGATTCTCTGAAAACAACTGTTGGTCTCCATATTACATTTTTAGCATTGCTCTGCTGTTCTTTGCTGACAGATTCAATGCAACTGCTTTATTAGTTCAGTACTCTCAGGAAGTGCCTGCACCCTTATGTCCAGCTGTGTCCTCAAGGCCATCTCAGAGCTACATGTTTTGGTCATCACAGTACTCCTACTGTAGTAATAATAATCACATAACTGGCATCAAGCATCTTTGCTTGTATAATAAATGTCCAAAAAGGCATTAATGGCAATTGATTTCCTGCTTAGTGGCCTACAGACAAGTCATTTATAAGCAAGATCTTTCAAGCTGTTGGTCTGTGCAGAGTGCTTGAAGCACTAATGTAGATCTGTGTGTGAAGTTCAAGTGCTGGGTACTTCCTTCAGCACTGAATTTTGCTGCCTCCCCTATGCTTGTGTAGCATAACTTGTCAAGTACTCAGGAAGTCATTAGTGTTATGCTGTCACCAAAGGCACGCTGGTGGCACAGGCTGATACTTTGCATGTGATCTGTTTTAAACTCTATACAATCCAGGCTGGCTTTTCCTGCCATTTCCCTTGATTTTTGTGCAGCACCAGTGACTGTAGCACATAGCAGGCAGTTACAGAGCATGACATCCTTTCTGCAACAACCATGAGAGACTGATACAAATTCCAGTGCATGTGACTCATCAGTAAGCTTAGTGCAGCTGAGGCTCCTCTTTAAGTTCTAGCTCTCGGTTCTGTGCGAGCCACTTAATGACAGAATAATTCCTGTGATGCGTTAAACACTTTCATTGAAAAACTGGTTCACTGATAGCATGGCAGCTCCCTGCAGATTCTCTATGGTGTATTTTGTTCCCCTTAAACTTGATAATTGCTGTCTTGTTACATCATGCTTCTTAGCAAAGGTTTACTCAGGTAATTAATTATAGTGATATTAAAGTTGTGCATAAATTATGTTCACACCTATTATGTATTGTTTTGAACTAATACATCAAAAGGTCTTTCAGTGTATTTATGATAAATTCATTTAAAGGTAGCTCTATAACTGCATACAGAGCTCTTGTCACTTATGCTGCCTATAAGGAAGGAATAGATAGCATATTTGATGCCAAGTATATGTTTTTAGGATGTAATATCAAGGAGAATATTATTATCTATTTGTTAGTCTGGTGCCTTATAGAACATTTCTATTTCTATAATTTCCAGAGCGATACATCCAAGTAGGTTCTTAATTTCATCTATCAGGAATCCAGGAAGACCTATTTTCCATTTTTCATAGCTTTTCTTAGCCATGATGTTGCTCTGGCTTTCCTTGTCAAATTGCTAAACATTAACTAATCCAAATACTTACTTTGCAGGAGGCCCAGAAGATCAATGGTGGTGGAGACACACAGGCAGATGGAGCCTGCAAACCAACAGATGAAAAAGAGGAGAATGTGGCAGCAGAAGTGGGATGGATGACGTCTGTGAAGGATTGGGCAGGAGTCATGATATCTGCCCAGACATTAACTGGCAGAGTACTTGTAAGTTTTCTATGAATTTCTATGTTTTCATTTTAAAGAACGTTTTTTTTAAGAAGCACTGTGTCCAAGCATTAGTGGAGGATTTTTGGTTGGTTTGTTTCATCAACACTGAGTCAATCCCAATTTTCCCTTTTGGAAGTAAAAATAGCAGACTAATTCCCACTACAAGAGAGGCAGAGACAGTAAATAAGAAAAACTGACTTCCAGACCACTCTCTAGCCTACTTCAGTACTGTGGCACTATGATTTTGAACTGTGCTACAAACAGTCAGTTTAGTCATTTCATATTAGGTGATAAAACTATAGGCCTGTTTTACCTGGAATTAAAATTATGCTGGGAAAAACGGAAGCCAATTTGGAAAATAAGCACAGTGTAACAAGTGTACATAGTGGTCAGAACTATAAAGCAAAGATGAGTTTGAGTTGGCTGTGCAGTGAGATTTGTGATATTTTCAGTAGACTAGTAATATGTTCTCTTGATTTTTTTTTTCTTTATTAGGTTAGGAAATCCTTCAAACGTGTGAACAGTTATGTATCAAATAGAACCACATATTGATAATATGTGGTTTAAAGTTCCAGTGGAAAAAACTCTGTAGTTTTCTGCTTTATTTGAATATAATTACATTAGAGCCTTGTTAAATACTAAATTGCCAAGGGTTTTCTTGAAGTTCAGTAAAACTCCTGTGTCATTTTGCTTAGTTTCCTTGTTAGAATGCATGTATTTATAAACTAAGCTCAAGTGATTTAAATCCCATTTAAAACTTCTGAGAATCCCAGTGAGACTGTAACTAGGTTGGGTTAAACTGAAAAAGGATTTGTGTCTTTGTTTATTTTGGTTAAGGGATATTTTAGGTGAGTCAGCTTGGGTTTATAGAGTAATTATTTGGATGGAGGAAGGAAGGGAGGAAAAGAAAAGAAATTGCACTCCTCAATCAAGTCTTTTACAGTAAAAAGTTGAGGTGACTCAATTGCCACTGTATTGTTTGTTTCTGCAAGAATATTATTTTGATTATTTTTCCTAAAAATATCTTCTTCCATTTGCTTATGTTAAGTGCTGACTTTTATCAATAGTTGAAAGCATGTTCACTGCTGCTTTGAGCACTATACATCTTCTATGTGAAACTGGCATATTGACATGTTGTCTTATGAAAAGTGGCATTTTGCATGTTTTCCTGACATCTTCAGCATTTAAAAAGAAAAATCTTAGTTGTGCTTCTTGTTCTAATTCAAATATCAAGGCTAGAAATCACCCAAACCCAGAATCCTCTGCTCTCAGCTATGCAGTGAGAAATTAACCTGTGTTGTTTTTACTGAGCTATATGTGAGCACAGATACAAACCAACAATCAAGACAAAAAACTAATTTAAATAATATCAAATACATTGTACTGTATTTTTTTTTCCCATAATACTGGAGGAACTTATTCAATTCTATTTAATGACTTAGTTTACCATTGCATTTTATAAGAGACTAGCTGACCAATGTCACTGGATTAGGTTATTTCTGAGAATATATTTATAGTCATATGTAAGCAACAGGTACGGATTTATGAATATGACTAACCATCTGAGAAATCTGTAGAGATGTATGGAATCTGTTAATTTTGTTTAGTTTAGAAAACAAGATCCATTTATTTTAATGTAATACTCATCAGTTTCATTATTTGAATTGACAAGATGTAATTCATGGAGTACTGTTTCCAGTAGGAACATTGACTATTCATTTAAATTTTACTTTCTGGATATATTTGCCAAAGGTTTACTCCTTCGGTGAACATTTGTGCTAGAGGTAATATTCACATTATTGGTAGACATAGGATGTAGCAATATTGTTTGAAAATATTAGGACTTAACTCATGAATTAACTAATTTAATCCAACCTCTTCTGCCAGCTATATTTCTGAATCAAAATATGGAATTTTTTTCCCCTGAAGAAGAACTGGTGATTTCACAGTTCTATGAAATCAAAGTTGTATGAGATATCTGCAGCTAAAAAAATTACGGTACAACTTTACATTGTGCGAGTTGAAATTAAAATCAGTCTTATACATTCAATGTTTACAAAAAAAAAAAAAAGCTTAAAAAGCAACCCACTGAAAATGGAATTGGGCAGAGTTAGAAGTGATCTTCAGTTCAGCATGATCATCTGAAGGCAGTTGTGTAACTGCTGCCTGGTTTTATTTGAGACACGAAGGAGACAAGTTAGTCCAATCTTGAACACACATCAAGTGTGAAGTAGAAGCTTATTTGTGTTTTCTGCTCATGAAAAAACTTCAATCATTATTCTTACCTGGACAGTGATTTTCTTCACAGTGAATCTTATTGGAATGTCAAGTACTGTTTGTGGAATCTAAACAGACTACTTTTTGGACCTCTCTCTACTGAAATCTGTCACTGTATCTTTGACATTTTTATTTCTTCCCTAGTAACTTTTATTTCTTCCCTAGTAACCTTACAAAACAACTTTGTAATTTATCAGATCAGTTTGCTCAGGTGATTTGGGAATATCGAAACAAATATTTGTATAGTGGGTGCTCCTGTAGTTACCTCTTTAATATTTAAACTTTTTGGCTACCCACTAGTGAAGAAAATTAAGACCAACAGTATGAAAAATACAGGACAAAAATTTGTGTTTACAGGTCATAGCATCATAGTGTAGTACGAAATTGGACATTTACATCAACATTTGTACAATTTTCTAATGAAATCTAATGTTTCTGTAAAGACAATAGATGAAAATCAGTACACAACCTTTAAAATATAGAATGGAAGGCCTTTGTAGCTGTAGAACTAATTGAAAAGTAACTTGTTTGTTTGTTTTTTTTTAATTAATTTTTCCAACATAATTTATGAACTCGTGTTTCAGGGCATCTGCTGCAAAGTAAGGGATGTTACTTTTTTTTTGTGATCTGGGTCATTGGAGACAGTGAAATGGTTTAACCCATTCTTGACAAACATTCTCGAATCTTTGGTAGAGATGATTCCCCTCCACATAGTTTTCTTAAAAATATTTAATTCATTGGTGGTTGTGAGGGAGGGAAGAGTTGTATAACTGAAATGGAAGTTGAAAAAACCCAACCATATTCCTAATCTCCCCTCCCATTCCACTGATTAGAGGAAGAATTGTATTTAAAGACTAAACAAAGAGAGGAGAAATTAAAACTTCCTTACACCTTGAAATTTTTTGCATTTGATTTCAATTAAGTTTTTTGTTTCAAATAAAGTGTCTTGAAACTCTATGTAAAACTTACTTGTAAGGGATGTCTGGGCCTGTCAGCAGTGTTTGCTGTGAGTTGTGGAAAAAACACCCCAGACTTGTAGTTTAGTTTTTGGTGGTATTTTTAGTTGCATGTGATAGAGCTAAATAGGTGAAGCCAAAGGTACAGGTATTGTGCAAATTGATCTCGGTATGCAGAAAAACTTTCCCACGTTCTCTGTGGAAGTGATTCAGAACGCTGTCAGAATTAACCGTTTCCCTATCACAAAAGCTTCTCATACTGGTGCTCTTATGTAAAACTTGATATTGTTTGCATCTACTCTTTCTTAATTTTTTGGAGCACAGAACAGTTGGTACTATCAGTTTCGTGTGTTGCCTCACAAAAGTGGTCTATTATGTCTGGTTCATCAGTGTGAAATGCTTGTATAATTTCTTAGTACGGTAGTCCCTCACAATATGTCTATTGGAGAGCAGGTTTACTGGAAAGAATAGTATCTCAAAGGCATCCTGTTAATATCTCCACCTGTGCCCTTTGCTCTTGGATCCTCAGAGTGTTTTTTGTATTAATTATCTCCATAATTAATGGAGAACCATTAGGAAAAAGATTTCTGTTCTTTGAGTTTCTAGGAGTGGTTTTCATTTTGTTAAGAAGAGTTTTCTTTTTTGTTAAGAAGAGTTTTATTTGTTGTTGTGAGCATCATAAGAAATGATAATGGGAAATTTTAAACAGTTTTCGAATTTTCGAAACATTTGACCATTGCTTGCTTTATCACTATGTCAACTGAGTGTCTTCTAGTCTGTAATATCTGTTAATGACAGCAAGATTAGGCAGAATAGACAAAAAGTGGCAGGTGCATGGGATTTTACTAAATACTGCAGCTGATCCAGTAGTTTATGTAAATATTGTAAAGATAAAAGTACTGAAATGAAAATAGACCTTCTTACTGCTTTAGGAGCTAAATTCTATTCCTGACATTTCAGAAGTGATTTAGGCACAAAGGAATATTCCCACTACCCAGTTTCACCTGAAGGGCAGGCTTTGAAGGAAGAGATTTGTAGAGGGTGATCCAGAATGTCCTAAAATAAGAAACTATTTTTGTTTTTTGAAGTAGTGTAGCTGGCTATGCACAGTTCCTACAGTTGTGTGGTCAGAATATCCTTTTCTCCTCGTACGTTAGGTTTTAAAAGCGTTCTTGGTGACGCAACCATTGAAAATGTGATTTTTGCTCTTAAACAATGTAGATGAGAATTTTACATATGGTTTAAAAATGTGTCCATATTAAATTGCATAAGTACATGATTTAATTGAACCCATGCAGTTCTGTTTGCAGTTGATATTGAGTGGCATAAATATAAATAATAGTAGGTGACAGTTTACTTAAAATCTGTTTAGGGAAATCTGATTTACTTTGAAGTGCCATATAATGCTGTAGATGATGGAAGTATTGGATAAAAATTCCTGAGATGGGTTTCTAAAGAAGAATCACAAACATTCATAATTAATCTGAAGATGCAGGAAATTAAAGGTAGTTTATGAACTGATTTTTGCTTCCTGAAATTATTTTTTAATTATTTGAGTAAGAAGAAAAAGGCTTCCTTAATTAGGCTGTTTGATATACAAAATAAAGTCATATGTATATTGTTGAAGTTGACACAGTTCAATCTAGGACCCAGTTGAATGTAGACTCTCCTTTAAACTGATAAAGAAAGAAAATTTATTTCAATTGCAAATCTAGGAGATAAAATCATGGAGAAAATTATTGTTTGTTCTATTTTTAGCACATG